ACTACTATGAGGGGTACAAACCTTGCCTTGAGAGTATGTCTATATGAACAGGCTGGCTGTGAGACAACCAGGGTGGTTACTGCACTGCTGAAGTACTGGGAGGCAGAGGATTTCTCTGTAGCAGGAAGTATTGCGCAGATATCATTATCAGCTGCCCTGCAGGGATGTGTGGATGGGGATCATCCTAAGGGGGCTCTGAGCTGAAACACTGAAAGCAGGACACTGAATACACTGTTGGTACAATGGTAACTTCCAGAGGGAATGGGAAAATCACTGTTTTTTTCCAGTGGTGAAAGAGTTGAGAGTTGGAGGTTAGAAAATATTAGGGTTTTAGACTGCATGATTCAGTTAACTGATGTTACACTGCAGCTTCTGAGAAGCCCTCACATCTCTCTTTCTCCCTTGCTCCTTTGTTGAGGGCCATTATATGCACCATTAGAAGATTATTTTTTTTTTGACCTGTGAGTGCAGCAGATGCAGTGACAGAGGCCTCCATACTGTGCTCAGCCCATCCAGGCTCTCATTGATGTGTATCTCAGGGCTGTTCTCTTCTGCTCTGTTGTGCAATAACACATCAGAGCCTTCTGATGCTCCTGGCAGTCTGTGCTACATTCTGACTTGCCCAAGGGACAGGACTACTTCTAGTTTTTTCCCTTTTTCTCTGCTTAACCTGTCCCTGCGCTCCTGTTGCATTACATGTGATCCAAACAGTGAGCATTGAGACACTAAATAGAACCAAAACTTTATGTGAATCCCAAACGGGCTGAGGCTGAATTTACTTCTGTTTGAAACAAGGCTTACAGGGTGAGAAGGTAAGTCTGCTATAGGAGGAGCAATAGGGGAAGGAGGGAGTGAGGGGCGTCTGTCCAGAACAGGAATTACCTCCTTCCTGGCAGAAGAGGAGATGCTGGCTGCCCACAGCCTCGTTATAGAAGATTCACTAGAGAAAGGGCAGCAAATGACTGGGCAGGAGCCCTGTTGCTCCTCAGTAGACAAACTGGCCCCAGGAGCTGATAGACGAAAGTGTCTGTCCTCAGAAGCAGCTGTGTGGCGGCAGAGCTAAGAACCTCTTTCACTGCAGTCGTTTCAGTTTAAAAAGCAGGGAGGTATCTGTAAAAACTGGTGATGTCACTTTTCATCCTTTGGCTGTAATAATCCTTGGGGGAGAAAATTGCCTAAAAACCAATCTGGATGCTTTATGCCACTTTCACATACAGCCAATCATATGGCTTCAAGGCCAATTTAAGTGTCCACTCAAGTGCTTTTCTACTTGGTTTTGGGGCTGTAGATGTAGGCATTCAAGGCCATGTTTTCTTCTGGTTGATTTAAGAAGCACAGTCAGTGTGCTCAGCTCAGGTCACAAAATGAGGAGTGTGCATGCAAATACTGATGGCTGCTTGTTTAGTTTAGTTACAGCCTCCTGCTTTTGTTGCTAAAGATGTTCTAGTGGCACTATTGCATCATGAAATTAAGGATGTTTTGGGACTTGGCCATAGTGGGTGTATTGTGTCCTGGTAAGGGATGCCAAAACCAGGTATCTTTAGTAAAAAGGATTCTAGAGGCTATTGCAAAAATGGTGCTGTTTTTCAGTTAATGTTGAAACAGATCTCATGCCCAAACCATCCATCACTGTTAAATCCTGGAGCACAAATTGGGATAACATGGCTGAGCCTAAGTGAGGGCCACAGTTCTGTCTGCTGGTGCAGCTGAGAGATTGAACTGCTCCTCCGCTGGGAACAAACAGCGATAATTTCCTGGCTAATGCGAGAGGCCAGCCTGCAGATGGGCTATGGGAGGAGAGCAGTTGATTGCAGCAGGGAAGAAGTGGCACATCTGGTTTGGCTCCAGGTTTTCAGGAGTAGCAGCAGCGGTGCCCTGTTGGAGCTCAGGGGTGGACGGGCATTCAGCCAGTTGGACCTTTGCTCAAAGGGTTTATTTTGTGTGAGTAATTGTCACTGAAGGGCTCTGGGCATGTGAAGCTGGATCTAAAAGTTAATCCTGAAAACTCCAGGGCATATCTGTCCTCATTTTTTTCAGTGTGGGGTCTGCCTTACATGTGAACTGTGGAGACACAGGTAGCCATAGGTTTAAGAGCTTGTTTTTCACGGTGTTGCTGTTCCTTAGGGCCACTTGACCTGATGCAGGATGTGCTGGTGTGGAAAAAGATCGGTTGCTCTTTGTGCATCGATGAAGTGCGGATCTTAGTTAGGAGCACTGCAACTTTTTTAGAAACGTGTGCTTTCCAAACAGTTAGATAGATTTGTCTGTGCACTGCACACAGTGACTGTAAACCTGAGCTCTGCTGACCAGCTCTGAGCCCAGCAATGAGTTTCTTCTTCATGTGGAGCACGTCCCTCTCCTTCCTAGTTCTGAGGGAAGGAAAAGCATAGATTGGCTGTGGGTGGGCTATGATGAAGTGCAATTCAGGTATAAAGATTGATTTCGAGCAGCGGTAATCTCTTGCCTTCTTTCTAACTGGAACAGGAAAATTAAACAGGAGCAAATTCATCACAGCGGCTGGAACAAATGTAGGAGCTGTTGAGGTAGAATAGAGCAACTGGTTTCCTTCAAGCGTTGCCACCAATACAGAGCAGTGCAAGTGCTTCAGGGAGGTATCTGAGAAATGCTTGCAGTTGTGGGGATCTTGGCCCTGTCAGTCAGTGAGTGCTTGTGCCCTGGACAATGATGGTTACACTCATTCTGTGAAAATAGTGTCTCCATGTCATGGGCAGCTTTCAAGTTCACCGTGTCTAGATGTTCAGTGGTTTCTCGTTATGCTGTGTGACCACCCTCTGCCAAAGGCCACTTGGCAGGGTTCTGGTGGGAGAGTGAGAGGCAATGGGATGGGGTGAGGCTTCACACCACTTACTATAGAAAATCCAGAGCTCTGCTACCCTACTTTTGGAAGCCCCAGCTGCTGGTAGTTAAACAACAGTGCCTGGTCCCGAAATTTGGCTACTTTTGTGGCCAGGAAAGAGGTAAAACCATGCTTATATCTATTAAACAGGGAGATGGCCAAGAAGCTGCTGTGACAGAGAGGCAGAGCAGCTGTCTTTAGTCCAAAACACTGACTGCGGGAGACTCTACTTTTTTGCTGTGGAGGCTCGGTTACCTTGGAAACCTGTTTCTAGCTGGATATCTGCTACGGTGGAGAACACATCTGTACCTGCTACTTCTCTGTTTTGAAACAGCTATTTTACGGAAAAATACCTGGCAGGAATATTTCCAGAGTTGGATTATTGTGGAGTGCAGGCTCTGCTTTTGGTCTCAGGCATTTGAGTCTGATGAGGTGATGGTATGGGGAGTTCTGTGGCGGGATTGAAAAGGTATTAGGTATCTCTCTGCTTTGTGAGGGGGTCTGCTGTCACAAAAGGGAGAGCTGGTGCTGCTGATCATTACATCCTGGAATTGCTTTGCAAGAGAAATCACTTGCGTGTCTGGAGTTTGCAGAGAACTTTGTTCTGGTTTGCAGTTCAGCATGAAGCCACCAGCTGGTGGATTGAACTGAAGTAGTTTCTGTCTGTGATGAATGATTACCCTCACTAGGACTGTAGGATTTCCTTTTGGGAGGAATACATAAACTTTTGATCCTCCTGATGAATTTCTAGTATGGAAAGGTAGTGGTTGCAGGACTGTATACAGAATCTGACAATTTTGTTTCATTCCAGATCTCATCAGTCTCTTCATGTCTGTCTTTTTACTGTAGTTTTTTTAGTTTTACCTTTTCTGAATAATCTATAATCCTGAAGAGGGGAAGGGTATCTAAATTTTTCTCTTACCTCATTTTTGTTCCTTGCGTTTTGTCTATTCCTGCTTCATAGCCTGTACTTTTGGGCTGAGATGAATGCTCTGTTCTGTATTTGCTATGGGGCTCTCCAATACTAGAGTTGGTTTTCTTGCAGGTTACTGGGTAGTGTGTAACAGGGGGAAGAACAGATTAATAAATTCTAGGTGAACCTCTAACAAGTCAGAGCAATGCCTGGCGTTACTCTGTTAGATGCAGTTACCAATTAGTAGGTAATTAAGAACCTTTTTTTAAAAGTCAGTGTAGCATTCCAGCTTGACTTTGCGGGTCATCAGATACTCAGATATTTCAAGTCTTGAAATCTGCTGACTTCAGAGCAGAGAGTATATTAAGAATCTGTTCTAGGCAGGCATCAACTTTCAGCTCTGAGCAGCTATAAAGCAAAAGAAAATAGCTTTCGTTTTTAAAAATTTTCAAGAACTAGAAACAAGAAAAAGAACTTTTCATATTATTCAAGTGTATGGAATACAATTGTTTATTGTAAAGTCTGTTTGATTAAAGCTCTTTTAGCCAACCTTTTTGTTAATTCCCACTCTCACTAACTGATTTTTGGTGGTTACAGCAGAAGCTTTTGTTGTTTTCTTAAGACAAGTGTGAACCAGATCTGTAGTGTTTACTTCACAGCCCTAGATAACTGACACAATAAAGTACTAAAACCTTCCTTGTACCATTGCAGCAGCACTGCCACAGAGCTACAGAAAAAATATGCTGTGTTTTTTTCTTACTTTTTTTTAACTGCATCTATCAACAAGAGTGACAGTTTGGGGCTGACTACACATACATCATGCTGGTGATGTATGAAGCAGAAATGTGACAGTGGGATTCTCCAACCCCAAGGCTCACTTCAGGATCTGGCAGATAGAAAAGTCTCCTGTGAACTGCGTAGACTAACACTTATCTTGAGCCTGAGCAGATTTGATTGGGAAGTCAGTGAAAGAGAGTAAATGGGGGACAGTAAAATAGCTGTCATTTACCTGTCCAGCACAGTATTTCAACCAAAATAAAATAATTAAAAAAGCACAACCAAAAACCCCCTCAAAATCAACCCACATGTAAACTGATACATTTCTGGGAGATGAGCAGCTGGCATTTAGGTTAGTTTATACGAGAAAATGAAAATGCGTCCGTATTTAAGTGACTTGTTGAGAATGGCTTTGCTTTTAATTTTATTTTAAAAATACATATTTTATCCTAGCTTTGATCAACTTGTTGAAGTTCCTCATGTCTAATGAGACTGTGTTGCTGGCGAAGCACAACATCTTCACCCTTGCTCTTATGGTGAGTACAGACAAAGCAAAACCTCTTATTTTAAATAACTGAATCTTGAATGAATCTTAGGAAAAAATCCAGGATTTCTGGCCTGGTAAGGTGGTATCAGAACAAGGCCACAAAGCTGAGGAATATCACAGTGGTTGGTTTTGCTAGGTGTTTGGAAAGGGCAGTGCTTGGACTCACTTGTAGGGTCTGCACATAGAAATAAACAAGTGTATGTGAGGAAATGCTTAGTTTAATTTTCCAGATTTGGTAAATGTTTTCTTGTTCTGTAGCCCTTTGTATACAAAAAAATAGAAAGCTATTTTCTTCTTGTCTGTCTCTTCTGTAGTATAAGGAAAATAATAGATGAAGCAATGAAGTAATGTAATACTGTGTAATGCAACTGAGAGATATTTCTTTGAAGGTTTTGGTCATAGTGTGTATTGTTTCTGTTGCAGAGTAGGTTTTATCTAAATACTGCTGGTTTAACTTCCTTTCACTTCCTTGTATAGGTTGTGAACCTATTCAACATGTTCATCACTTATGGAGACACCTTTCTCCCCACTCCCAGCAGCTATGATGAGCTGTATTATGAAATCATTCGAATGCATCAGAATTTTGACAACCTTTATTCTATGGGTGAGTACCTCTTGACTGGTCAGGAATACTGTTGAATAGAAGCCAGAGTGGTGGTGGAGGGATGCCTGTCTTGGGTGTTTTCTGTCCATATGCTGCTGATGTGTGTCTTGGTGAGTGATACTTTTTTTTTAGTCAGAAAAAAAGCCAGGAACAGACCCACTGCCTCTCTAGCAGCCACTTACTGTGGTTGGAAATATACATTTGTTGGCACAACTAGGTATGTGGTATTTCGTGCATCTTTGTGTGGTTTGCATCTATCACATTTGACAGTTTCAAGTCAGAGCACATGTACATGCTGCAAAACCAGCCAGCACAGAGGAACACTCAGTGCAAACAAGAATTTGGAAAAGAATTTGAGAAACTTAAAATAAGAAGTTTGCTGTGCTAGACAAATAACATCTACTGTACTTGTTGCCAAAACAAACCAAGAAAACAGCCCTCACAAACCTGCTTGCAATGACAAGCGATTCACTGGACTGAAGAATGTGTCTACTGGCAAAGCAGGGAGAAGTCACCATCCTTCAGAGAGAGGCAATGCTGCAATGCCACCAAGTGACACCCAGCAGGGAAAAGAGGAATGAAGGAGAGCAAGGAATGCATGGAGGCATAATCAGAGAGTGTGTACGCAGGAGCCACAGGCAGCTGTAGCAGCTCTGGGGTAGTACCTGCATGCTTGAAGCTGTGAAGAAAAAAATACAACTATGTTCTTTGTTTGCTTTGTTCTAGAAGGGCCTTTCTTCCCTTCACTCCCTGCTCCCTTCTCGCCTTGATCACCCAATGAACAATAGCAGTTAATATAAGCACATAAGGGGAGTTAAGGGGCAGTGGGAATGACAGTTGGCCACAGTACTCTTCTGACATGGGAGAGGACCATCCTCACCCAAATAGAATTAGACAATTTGCTTGTAATTGCAAGCAAAAATTATCGGCCCTTTTGTACAAACTTCCCACAGTTTGCATCCGTTATCTAAGGAATCACTTGACCATTTTTGTGCCCTCTGAGCACATAAGATTTTTTGCTAACTAATTTCCTACTCCCAAGAGTTGCAGCTAGTAAGATGAGGTGCTTTTACTAGCAGTAATTTTTCAAACCCATCCCCTGTGGAAGCGGAAGGAAAGTGGAATGAAAGAATAACGCACTCAAATACTTACTCAGTTGGGCTGCAATAGACACATCTGACCTGTTGAAACAACTCATTTTTCACATGAATGTTTTCCATTCTGCTACACAGAGCAAGCCCCTTTGAATTAATGTTGTAGATGCCTGAATGGAAACTCTCTGAATACATTACTCCAGATACTCAAGTACAGTACCTACTGTTTGACAAACTAATGTTACTCAGAGCTGACATCTTTTTTCTGTAGGTGATGTAATGGTAGGCTAGGGAGCTCTAGCACTGCCTCCAGTTGATGAAAGCCACAGTTTAGCCAAGTGTCCTGGGAGCTTCCCTTGGCGTGTCAATCCATCTCACTGGGCTACAGTCACCCTTCTGTCCCCTAGCCTTGGGACATTTGTTAGCAGACATGAGAAAGCTGCTTAGTCCTTTAGTTTTCCTGTTAATGTGGCTGAAACTTTGTACATTGGGAGTGGAGGTGGGAAGCTAGTTGCCTTGGCTTTTATTTATTTTTCTTGTTCTGAATCTGAACTTCATCCATATCTGCAGGACGGAAAGCTTCTCTCCTGCAATAGCAGGCATGAGTAGGCAGCCACTGTGCTTATGGATTCACTTGTAACGTCTGTATTTCCAGGTGATCTCAAATTCTGATGATGTGCTATTCTTTCACTTCTAAGTTGAAGGCAAACCTTTCTCGTGGAATGTAACCTCCAGAAAACCCTGTATATACAAACCCATAGAAAATTCCATTCTATTCAAGCCATATGGAAAATTTGTCAAAAATTATATGCTCCAGGATCTGTTACTGCTTTGGTAATTACCATGAGATGTGCAGGTAACTGCCACCCTAGAAACACTACAGATTCTGACCTAAATAAGTATTTTGGGTGCTCTAGCAGAAAAGAATTTGATTTCTTAGTTCTTCCTGTTGCAGAACGTTTTCAGATCTGCTCCCAAGTCTGTTGGGGACCATCTGTGCAACAGAGCAACACCCCAATTCCTACAGGGAGTGTTTTTCCCTAGGCTGGTGTGTAATCCCTCTCTGCAATTCCAGATAAACAGGGTGGTGAAGAACCCATCACTGCTGGGTTGGGTTTAAATCACAGGATGTAATCCAGCTTAGATAGATCCTTGCATAAATAGGAGCAAAATAGGAGAACAGCAGAGTAAAAGACATTGCAGACCTGGGATGCTCTCCTGTTTCTGGGGGAAATGAACTTTATCATGTGGTGTTGAAAGCAGTTAGGAGGACCTGGGCTCTTCTGTCTCCTCTGCTTCCTGTGTCCCAGTCATTAGCTTGTTCTGCTCACCTCTTCAGTGATCCTTACATTTCTTAGCTGGGCTCTGAAGGTAATTTCTGCCCTGGATCACAGATTGTCTCCAATATGACCTCTGTTGATGTAGTTCCCAGACTGCCATCTCACCAAAGCAGATATTTTTTTCACGTTTTGTATTAGAAAATTGCCAGTTCTGTGCCAGCACTGTTAACTGTCCTTTTTCTTTCAGTTCTAAGGCTTTCTACCAATGCTGGTCAATGGAAAGAGCCTGCAAGCAAGGTGACCCATGCATTAGTCAATATTAGGTAAGGAGTAGAAGTGAATAACCATTTTAGAGATTCTTGTGTCCTATGTGTCTGCATTCTTATCATGACACTTTCACATTTGTTGTATCGAATTTTGTTTTGAATTTGTTCTCTTTGCTGGGCTAAATTGCTGCTCTAAACAGGGCCCACTGGGATAAAGAGAGGATCACCAGGGTTTGATTGTCCTCTTTCTAATAATTCTCTCAGCTCTTCTGTAGACTGAGTGCTTTCAAAACATGGCACAAGCTGTAATGAATTAATCCCCACAGCATTCTTAGGAGAAGTTATACAGTAGGGAGCAATGCTGCACTGGCAGAGCAATTGTGCACCTAATGGATTTCTGTTGCGTGATTCTATTGCAATGCTATGAAGGGGACTATAAGCCAGCTGTAATAAACAAGATTCGAGGCCTCTGTTAACATTGCAAGATTTTTGTGTGTTTAAAACGGATTATTTAGAGACATTTCAGTGTTCTCTTAACCCTCTTCCTACTGTTCAAGGGCAGAAGTTATGTTCTACTTGTAAGGCTGAGGAATATCTTGGGATGCATTTGTGCTGTATTCCTTCATGACAGCAATAACTTCTTTTCCTGGCTTCTGAAACAGCTGGTACTGATCAAGCTGGGTACTGGGCAGGAAGCTCATGGATCTGATTGATTGGAAAATGGAAGAATGTTGGGAGAGGGAATTTACTGTTTATCGCTGGTTTGTAAACAAACCATGAAATATATGAATATTTACACTGAAAAAATACCTGTTCATCACTTCCGCGGTCACTTCAGACACTTGCTGTCTATGCAACACCAAGTAGCTCCGTACTGCTACATCGCTAGTACTTGTCATTTTCCTCGCTACAGAAGAGATTGTTTAGGACAAACTCTCTGAGGGCATCTTTCAAGTCAATATACATCTTATGTGTCTACAAACTGCCTTAAAGGTTCCATTAGGAAGTCTGTAAGCTTAATAACATCACGTGTGGTTCCAGAAGATTTATTTTGCTACTATCCTTATTTTTATTTTTTGTAAACAGACATAAGTGAATGCTTGTGGGCAGATAATGCACTCGGAGTGAGGTGGCAGAACAGATAGCTGTTGGCAAATTAATGTCGTTTAACGTGACACAAAGTGTCTGCCCTGGGAATTCTCTGTATACCAAGGGAGAGAAATCTAAACTGGGAAGAGACAAAGTAAAGCAAGTGGTTGCAGAGGGTTTGTGCTCACCTACGGCTTGTGCAACCGAGATTTTGCATTGGCTCATTTCCTGTTGGCTTAACAGCTGCTTCTGTAAAGATGAGCATGCTACTGAGACAAGATACAACCCAAAATCTGTCACTGTGATACCCCTCCCTGGACAGCCTGTATCAGACACATTCAGTGCGTGGTGCTGTCGGGAACCAGTGAAACCTCTGACGTGTTTCTCTTCTAGACTTTTGTTAGGTTTCTCTTGCTCAACCCAACTGCTTACGTCTGTTGAAATTTCATGTGATCTTTCACTAGCTTCAGAAGTTTTCATTAATTACTCTCATGGCTTTTAACTCTGGGAAATTATGCATTAAAGATGAAATTAGAGATGATTCAAGGCCTGGAGAGGGATTAGACTTCAGAGAAGTTTGTCTTGTTGACTTATCCCATCTCATTTAAAAAAAAAAAAGAAGAAAATAAGTGAGGGGATAGGTATTTCATCTGCTTGTTTGTTTTCTTCTAATGATAAAAATATTACATTTGGAAAGTTCTTTAACTGTGTAGATTTCAGAGCAGCCAGTTGTTGGAAGCTGGAGAAATCCAAAGGTACTGTGCTTTTGTGAAGGTGACTGAAACATCACGCTGTCGAGGTGGTGACTATTACTAGATGCCTTTTTTTGAGAGAACATGCTTTAGAAAGTTTCAAAAGACTTGACTTGGTAGAGGGAAAATGGATGAAGTAAAGAACCTGTAATAATGTAATATTCCTTTTTGGTCTGAAGACTGAATTTGCACGTTTGAAAGTTGCAGATGATGCAGCAGAGGGATCAGAGAATAATTTGAGGTATGCCTCAAGTCTTCCAAGGTCTGAAGTTTTCTGCAGTCTGTTGGGAAAGTCCTTTCTGCCCTAGTCTGTTGGCTGTCCCACTCCTGCAGCAAGGTGTGCAGGAAGACCGTTAATATGAGGGACACGTTTGCTTCTGGTGTTGGACCAGGGCTGCAAACTGGAACTTGGTGCACACACACTTGTGGCTCTGTGTTGCAGAGTTAGGGAGATGTTGCAAGCCCAAATCACCTAAAAGAAACAAAGAGAGGGTGTGCTTGAGGAGAATAAACCCTTTAGAGCTGCCAGGTTGATGGCTCTGTTAGAGAAACACAGTATGTTAATGAATGGCAGTGTTTTCATAAGATGTAATTATCTTATGCATTGATAAGGGTGTGCTGGCTTGGACCTGGCTTAGCTCCCCATTATCTGCATTGCCTGCTTGTCTGTGCCCCTTTGGTTTCCCCTTAAAGTGCTCTTAGTGTATGATTTCTTATTTGGATGCCTTTGCTATGAAGGGAAGTAGTTTAGAGAAATGCACCTCACATTGGATTTTTCCCTCAGCTTGTTCCATCATTCTGGAAAGTTTTTATGAGCAATGATTACCTGCTTTTTCCTGTAACAGTACAGTGCAAAGTCACTCTTTGGCTTATATCTTCATCTCACAACAGTTATTTAAAAATAAATAAATAAAAATTGTCATTTCCTCATTGTGTGGCTTTTGGTGGGAAATACTGCAAATGTAAAAAAGATCTCTGTGTGCATGCGTGTGGTGTGCTTTACAAAGTTTGTTACACATAAGATTGTACGCTAGGATTTATTTCTGCAGGAGAGGAGTGGTGAGCTGTTCACAACTTTTCAAGTGTGCAACCCGTTTGTGTTACGGGAGTAACTGCTGGGGAGAGACGTAAAACAGTCCTGCTCGTACCCCACAGTGCTGGATTGGTGAGGTCATCTGATTAATTGCTTTAATAAAGAGTCAGGATGAGTAATACCTAGGGAATCTTTGACACGCGCTTGTTTAAACTCAGCTGCAGAGAGAGATCCCTCTTTGTGTATCCTATTATGGTATTAACTCTACTTTTTAGCTGGACCCTATTCTCCACTAGGGAGTCTGATTGGGCTTTGTTGTTGCTGGTTATCTGATTTTTTTAGTCCTTACTCCATTGAAAAGAGCAGTCACTATTTATTGAGAGACAGAGAGGCTATTCCTGGCTTCTCTCCATACCTCTCCTTTTTGCAGATGATTCATAATTTCTGTCCAACCTAAGGAAAATGAAAATTTGAAGACAGACTAATAGTAGCTTTATCTGGCTGAAATCTTACATACTGTACTGGAATGAGTGATCACTATTGCTGTCCTATCCCGTAATACTGATTATAACTTCTATCTGTGGATTTGTCTAAGTGTTTTACATAAATAATTGAGACACGATGGACTGCAAGAGATAGCTGCAGCACCAATAGGGTTGAAATAAGAAGCTGCAGCCATTAGTGATTTGGAAACTCACCTCTCACCTATCAGGAAATAAGAACATTTTGAGACATTTTTTATAAGCTAATGAGCCTCTTTAAGATAACATTGTGCAGGTTTGCATTTAATGAGAATTTTATTAACGCGGGGTTCAAAGGGGCATCTTCTGATTGCTTATTCAGTGAGGAAGGTGGCAGCTGAATCCCTGTATTCTTTTAATAGACTTTCTTCTGATTAGGACTTTTTCCAAGGTGGATAAATAGATTAACTTGATGATTAATAGACTGAATTTCCCCATTGTCTGAAATTCAGTCCCATCATCATTTTTAAAGTAATTTTATTTTTCTCACTGAAGCACTTTTAACTAGCAGAAAGTTTGCAGTATGGAACTAGACGATAGGATTTTTTTTTTAAGGTGTTTGTGTGCTGTTGTAGCATATGCTGCAATCCTCGCTTGGGTGCTTTCATTCACTCTCCCATCTCGCAGCTACTTTTGTTCCACATGAGCCATGCTGTGTGATGTTCTTGCTTTGTGCAGGAGATGCCGCTTCTCCCAAGACTGCTTTTGGGGTTGTAAAGGAGAGATTGGGGATTTGGGAGGAGCACTTAAAGCATCACATGGTTGTGTATAAAATGGTTATGCTTGCTGCCAGTTTGGGCAGAAGCTCTCTGAAGGAACATTTTCAATTTTATTTGGGTGAAAGAAGGCCAAATTGGGCTGTGCTTGTTGCTCGTAGAATACCTCGCATCCCTGCTCTGAAACTGTAGCTCATGTCAGATTACCAGCACTGCATAGAACTGCACTTAATAAAAACCTTGACAGTGGAGGTTTAATTCAGATATTTGTTAGAAAGTGAGCAGCTGCAAGCTGGCCTCATAGTACCTTCAGCATTGTTCTGCTTTACAGTGAGGAATTTAGCGTCTGTTCATGGGGAGAGAAGAGCTAAATGCTGCTGCCCATGTCATGTTGTAATGAGTGGCTGTAGTATTTATGCAGGATACATGAAAGAAGACCTACTGATAGATAAGTGTCTCTGTACAGAGTGGAGAGTTATGAATTACAGTCAGCCGAGACTGTTGTGCTGGTCTTGTGTTAAAATATATATTTTTATATACATACATATATATCTATATATACACACACTTCCCTTCTTCCCTCTCTGTATAGACATTGTAGACACACACATGTTTCTTGCCAGTGTGCATTAGACAATGAAAAAGGGAGGACAAACTTAAAGCCTGCTTATGAAAATAAATGGTCAAGGAAATCTGTGTACATATAATACACACACATATCTCTATTATATATATATATGTATATGACTGTGTGTATCCATATATGTATACATGGATGTCTTTGTCCTTATACATACACACATATACATGCATATCCACACACATGCATATATGTACAGATATTTATATATAAAACACAAACATCTTGCCTTTGACAATGGGCTAATCTAAAGCCATAATTTCCAAGCTGAAAAACCCAAGATGCTTGCTTCTTTCCAACTTCTCG